AGTTTTGTTCTTGCTATCTTCTTCTGGCAACCTAAATCAACCACTTACAAACCAGTAAGTTTTGTTCTTGCTATCTTCTTCTGGCAAGCTAAATCAACCACTTACAAACCAGTAAGTTTTGTTCTTGATATCTTCTGGCAAGCTAAATCAACCACTTACAAACCAGTAAGTCTTGTTCTTGCTATCTTCTTCTGGCAACTTCTCTTGTATCCCGTCGTCACTTTTGTAATCTTGACTCTTTCATTATTGACGCCTCTGGTGTTTCATAGTGGATGACTGTAAAGGAGGTTTCATCCAGTGTATTCAATTATAATGACATTGAAAAGTTTTTGTTGTTGTTATTGTTTTTTTAAAACACTAGCTTTTCATTAACTCGGTTTTATCATTCCGAAATATTTTATGTAATATTAAACAAGATGGCAATCGAAGGCATTCATCTCCTAAAATCTTGTTAACAGTTAAAAAGAACGTAGTGTCTATGACGTCAATCCACGCTTGGCAAATTGCCAAACATGACTGCTGGGGGAAATTAATGTTTGTGATGACCCAATGTAGTGCTAATAGTATCACCTCGTGCAGCGAGATACGAGTATCCGTAACGTGGTAAAACCCAATCAAGTTGTTCTACAAAGAAAAGGGGTGTGTGTGTGTTAAATCTGTTAGTACTAGATGTGTTTGACACAGATTTGTAGAAATTAAAACTTGCAAAGTATAATGTAAATTCAGCTTATGTTATGATTTGGTACAATCTTTTATAATAAAAGTTAATCAGATATAAAGAATATTAACTTGAATATTTTGAAACTTAGTAAAACTGTAAATAAATTATAACAACTGAAAGAATAAAATTCAATGTATTTATTGGTTGTTCCAGCACATTGGACTATATGCTGTATCTACATCGGAAATCGAACTCCAGATTTCAGGATTGTAAGTCCTTATACTTACAGCTGACCCACAAGAAGGCTCAATTTATTTGAACCAAACAATATCATAACTTATTTACAAGACACAAGGAGGCGAGTGTAGCATTTTAATTTTTAAAAAAAATTATTAATTTGGAATTTAAATTATAACAGCTATCATGATATGTATTTTAATTTTATATTGTTTTATAGATGGAGCTATGGTATGAACTTGTGAGATCAAATGCGTTTTGAGATGAACATTCGGCTGCATTCTTGGGTGTCGGTGTACCTAGTTTGTGGTCATACCAACATTTTGGTCCAGTAACACAGAGACTCGGTAAAACTAATAGCTGATATAGTTAAACACATTATGATAATACCGAAAACCATTGAAAACTATTAGCTACAGACGACCTGTAATTTTTCCCTGCTATACAAGTTTTGATAGAAATTTTATGGCAAAAAAATTGCCATTTGACCAGTGAAAGAAACAATATATAGCTATAAATAAGAAAACAAAGTATCTTATAATATCATAAAATAACTCTTATTAAGTTGCGCAAAAAGATGAACTCCGCAAAGGACTAATTAAATTTCTGCTTCTTGCGCCATCTCGTAATGTAATGTTTTATATTTATTGCGTTTTTATTAAAACCCTTAATTTATTTTTTAATGTTTAATGAAACAGTTAAAATAGTTAATGTTAGAGCATTTAATAATTTCTTCTACCTAGTACCTCCTAGTGGTGGATCTAAAAACTAAAATCAACCATGTAAATAAAGTTACCTTTTTAATCTGAGGTGAAATTCGGTAATTAATGAAGAGCCTCAGTAAACCGAAGGTAGGTTAGAAATTAGTTAATTTTGTAGCCATCTATTAGTGACTTTATAAACTATAACATTTTCGTATCACCTCCTTTGATTTTTCTAATTCCGTCAACTAAGTTTCTTATATTTCTGGT